AAATTTTGCGATTTCTAATCACATGTCTGCCGAGCAACAAAAAAAATCATAAACGTGAATTATGATTCATCTCAAATTTAGAGCGGCTAGACATTTCACATTTTTGGCGAATTTCACAAAATGGTTTAAATTTTTTATCGATTAAATTGATTATTAACTGATTAGATTCAGAGTTCCAAGAAGTCATAATCGATAAAGTTTGAAATAATAAATTCATGTAGTTATCAACTCACATAGCAGAATGAAGAAGGTAAAATTTTAAAGGAGATAATTTCTTACTTTTTTTATTTTTATTTTTATGTATTTTGTATTTTGTATTTTTTTTTTTTTTTTTGATAATTGTGTTCGCCATATGGGGCCTTTGTTTTTGTATTCGGAAATAAATAAAATAAATTCCATTTTAATTTATTAGTAAATATATTTTTTAATCTTATATTCTTCCCTGTTACAAAATTGCATAATTTATTTTTCCCTCTTCTCCAAATTATTATACACATCCTCCAGTTTACCCTCCTCCCCTCCCTCACCCTGTTGCACCATTTGAAAACCACATCATTATAAATATATAATTAATGAGTGAGTCTCTCATATTCAGTCGTTGCAATAAAAAAAGGTCACCTATTTTCCTCATGTCAATTCCCCGGGTTACCAGCAGCGTCATCACCAGTATCATCACCTCCGCCACACCAAGGGTTCAACTGATGGTTTGCCTTCAGTACTGTTCTGTTTGACGGAAACTCCTTATCTATGGTGTTTCCGTTCCGATGGCGGTGAATGCGTTGAGGATGCTTGTTGACTGGTTACTGTGACACCCAATTCAAATGCGTTTCAATGAAATTGGGATGTGTGTATAAAAGTGTATGTTCGCAGTTTTTTGTAATTACTTACGAAGGGAGGAGTGTATGCGGGATAAACTCAACTAGAAGGTTTCACAACTATTGGGAGGTCATGGATTAAAAAAAAAACGCTAAGGGAAGTTCAATAGTCGGACGGGGCCGACTATATGATACCGTTCACCACTTTGGGTACATACTAGAGATTTTAATATCTACAATATCCTGTAGATAGGACGCACATAGAATCTTTGGAGGACCATTGAAATGGAATCGGGCGAAATTCAATGTGCTATCTCCTATAGGAAGAAGAATACCTGCTGCTCTTCCATAGGAAGAAGAATACCTGCAACTCTTCCACAGGAAGAAGAATAGCTGCAGCTCTTCCACAGGAAGAATACCTGCATTTCTTCTACAGGAAGAAGAATACCTTCAGCGTTTCCGCAGGAAGAAGAACACCTGCAGCTCTGCTATAGGAAGAAGAATACTTCCAGCTTTCCTATAGGAAGAAGATAACCTCCAGCTTTTTCAGAGTAGCAGAATATCTGCAGCTCTTTCAATGGAAGAATAATACATCCAGCTACACATATACACATACTATTCTGAAATCAATGAAAAATTGCATGTCAAGCGCATGCATGCTTGGATTCTTCGGTGTATTATTTGTATATATATATAAATATATACACATGTACCTAATTGAACAACCGTTCCATATACCATTGGTTTTTTGTTATCACTCTATATTCAATTTAATACCCTCGGCCAAATTTCGTATAAATCAAACAAACATAGGTCCTTCGGTCCACCACTTACACAAAAATCGAACGAAAATATATATAAGAACTGTATAAAAATCTGAAACGATTTCAACAAACCTTATCACACATCATTTTTTCCTCAATTACATTTGCTATGCAAAATTTTGTCCCAATCGGACAAATATTGGGAGGTTGGTGCATCATTTACATAAAATCGGACGAAACTATATATGGGAGCTACATCTAAATCTGAACCGATTTTAACAAAACTTCGAAGACATTAGTCTGGAGCTAAATTAGTACCCTGTGCAAAATTTTGTCCCGATCGGACAAATATTGGGAGTATGGTGCTTCATTCACATAAAATCGGACGAAACTATATATGCGAGCTATATCCAAATCTGAACTGATTTCCACACAACTTCACACACATTAATCTGGACCTAATTTAGTACGCTATGCAAAATTTTGTCTCAATCGGACAAATTTTGCCAGTTTGGTGCACAATTTACCTAAAATCGGATGAAAATATATATGGGATCTATATCTAAATCTGAACCGATTTTCACCAAACTTAGCACACATCATTGTGGACCTAATTCAGTACTCTATGCCAAAATTCGTGCAAATCGAAAGATATAAAAGGCCTTTGGTGGACCATTTACATTAAATCGGACGGATATATATATATATATATATGGTAGCTATATCTAAATCTGAACCGATTTTCGAGAAACTTAACGCAAATCATTCTAGACCTAATTCATTACGCTGTGCCAAATTTCGTGCAAATCGAGAATAATATAGCGACTTTGGTGCAAAATCGGACGAATCTATATATAACAGCTATATCTAAATCTGAACCGATTTTCACGAAACTCAGCACACATCATTCTACATCTTATTCATTACGCTGTGCCGAATTTCTTCCAAATCGAAAGATATATAGGGACTGTGGTGGACCATTTACATTAAATCGGACGAAACTATATATGGGAGCTATATCTGAATCTGAACCGATTTTAACAAAACTTCGCACATATTAATCTGGACCTAATTTAGTACACATTGCAAATTTTTGTCTCAATCGGACAAATTTTGCTGGTTTGGTTCTCTTTTATATGCCTTCTGGGCTGGGGCATCTTCATCCATTTTCACAACATGACCTAGCCAACGTAGTCGCTGCTGCTCAATACGTCTAACAATGTCGATGTCCGAGAATACCTGGTACAACTCATGGTTCATTCCAACTTCGATATTCACCGTCAACGCAGGTCGACCCATAGATCTTTCGGAGAATTTTTTCTCTCAAACACTCAAAGAGCTGACTCATCTGCTTGCGTAAGTACCCATACTTCAGATCCATATAATAGCACGGGTAGTATCAGCGTCTTGTAGAGTGTGAGTTTGGTCTGGCGGAAGGTGGCCTTGCTTTTGAGTTGTTTGTTCACACCATAGTAGCATAGGTTGGCCATCACTATCCTACTCCGAATTTCAAAACTGATGTTATTCGTTTTATTTATGGCGGTACCTAGGTATATAAAATCTTTCACTACCTCGAAGCTGTACTTCTCAAAGTTCCACAGTTGGTCCGAATCTTCTGGACGTCTTTCTCGTTGATACCATCAGCTTGATCTTCTCGCCCTTTACTGTCAGACCCACTTTGGCAGACTCCTTCTCAATTTGTTCAAAGGTGGCTGTTCGACCGCTCTCAATGTTCGACCCGTTGTGTCGATGTTATCGGCGTGTGTGAGTAACATGTTTGGTGTACAGAGTGCCATTTCGGTTCACTTTTGCGTCTCTTATGACCTTTTCCAGCAGGGTGTTAAAAAGGTCACACCACAAACTATCACCTTGTCTGAATCCTCGTTCGGTATTACAAGGGCTCCGAGATGTCCTTTCCGACTTTAACTGCTGATCTCGTGCCTGTTAATGTTGTCCTGCATTGCCGAATTAAATGTGCAGGAATGCCAAACGCAGACATGGCTTTAAACACCTCTGAAGGAATAGGACTGTCGAATGCGGCTTTATAGTCGACGAATTGGTGGAATGTGTCGATGTGCTTTTCGTGGGTTTTTCCAGGATTTGGCGCAGAGTGAAAATCTGGTCAATGGTGGATTTGCCAGATCTGAAGCCGCATTGGTATGGTCCAATAATGTCATTGACCATTGGCTTCAGTCGTTCACACAGTACACTGGGTAGCAATTTATATGCGATGGGAAGGAGACTTAATCCTCTATAGTTGGCACATATCGTCTTGTGTCCTTTTTGTGAAGGGGGCACAGGAAGCTGAGGTTCCAATCATTGGGCATGCATTACTCTAGCCAAATTGTACTAATCAGCTGGTGCATGCTCCTTACCAGCATCTGACCACCAGTCTTGAATAGTTCGGCTGGTAACCCTTCTCAATTTGTTCAGAGGTGGCTGTTACCGATCTCAATGTTCGACCCAATCGGCGTAGGCGAGTAACATGTGTTGTTTGGTGTACAGAGTGTCATTTCTGTTCACTTTTGCCTCTCGCATGACCTTTTTCAGCAGGATGTTAAAAAGGTCGCACTACAAAGTTTGGTGCACAATTTACCTAAAATCGGGCGAAACTATATATGGGAGCTATATCTAAATCAGAACCGATTTTCTTCAATTTCAAGAGGGTTCGTCCTTGGGCCAAGTAAGTGACTTGTGCCAAATTTCATCCAAATCGGATCATAAATGCGACCTGTACTTTGCTCACAAAAATATATGGACGGACGGATAGACGGACATGCATAAATCACTCAGAAAGTGATTCCTTTTGCCTGTTACAAACATATGCACCAAGACATAATACCCTGTACCACAGTGTGGTGAAGGGTATAAAAATCCACGCCTTATTTACTCCTTCAAAATTAGTTTTTAAACAATAAACGCCTATTTGACAACTTCAAAAAACATTTAGAAAAAGCCGCACCAATTTAACTCTTTAAAAATATGTTTTTTTTTAAACCCAGGTCTAGTACTAAATAAGAGGCCTTCTTGAGGCCCCTTTTTTGCCTTGTCGTCTCTGCACTCTCTAAGATGCCTGTTATTATTTATTATTTCCCCATTAAGGTAACATCAATTGCTTCCCATGAATTTAGGTCACACATACAAACATTCATAAACCCACACACATACACTTATATATAGTTTTTATATATTTATTATGGAAGTTAATATAAGTAATATATGAATAACTTCTCTTCTTCTTCTTCTTTTGTATTTCTTTGCAGGTAATATGAAAACTTTTTTTTTGAACTGAGAATAAGGAATTGAGGGTAAGATGATAATTTTTTTAATATATTTGCTTAGAAAAAATATTTATTATTTATTTTTTCCATCCCACACACACACATACATACACCTTGTGGAAATTCTATATTTGTCTCACTTTAAAAACTTCAAAGACTTCCCCTTCTTCTTGACAACTCTGGCCTCTACATGACCCGACAGCAAGTGGAATTTTTCCGAAAACATATTCATGGTGGCCGAAAATGTCATTTCCGGGGTAATGGGTGGAAAATAATCGGGATTGAGGGCAAAATATTTTACGGTGTAATTGAAGTTCTAAAAATTCCAAAAAAAAGCGAATTAAAAAAAATCTAAAATTGTCTCCATAGTAAACCTTACCGCCTTTAGAGGACACCCAGCAAAATTACCACTTCCTCTCAACTTCTTAATAATCGATTCTACAATGGGATTTGGCGCCTTATACGTGGCCAAATGACAACCATCGGCACGAAATTTCAACAGATCTCGGGATACATTTGTAACATTATTATTATTCGTTGTCATCGTTGGCATTTGTATGCGAAATTCTAGCATCATTTTTGTAATATTCCTCCTGAAGACACAATAGCCGCTCAAATAATTGCCACGATTACGTGACTCATTGCGCAAGGGGCAACCAAATGCCTCTACATATTCCCGATTTAAGGCTGAACAATTTGAGCGAATAAAGAGGATATCGAAATTGCGCTAGGGGGTGGTCAAGAAATATTTTAAATAAAAAAAAAATAAATAAAATTTAAGAAGACCTACCACAGCCTGGCCTATTTGCAGCCACATTATCAGCAGTAGCCAGGGATTTTTAAAATTGAAATTGTAATCCATATTCCAATTGTTATAGAAACAAATTTGAATATTTTTGACTGATATTCTTGGTTGGGGATATTCCTTGGAACTACCCGAAGTGGTGATTGTGCAACCGTAACTATTTTTTTATACTGCTTTGGCTTGATTATTTTATAATTATTTAATTTTCGTTAATGATTTTTTCGACGCGGCGACAAATTATGTCAGATATTAGAAAATAATTTGTATTTATTTGATGATTGTCAAAAAATATTAACCTTCAAGAGGCCATCCTAATTTATTTTTAAAAAGTATTGCCTAGGTTGGCAACTCTAAAATTATTTTTGGTTGGCAACTCTAAAATTATTTTTGGTTGGCAACTCTAAAAGTATTATTTAAAAAATTCACCCCTTGGTTGGCAACCTAAAAAATATTCTTTAAAAAATCCACGCCTTGGTTGGCAACCTAAAAAATATTTTTTTAAAAAATCCACGCCTTGGTTGGCAACCTAATCCACGCCTTGGTTGGCAACTCTAAAAGTATTCTGAAAAAATCCCCGCCTTGGTTGGCAACCTAAAAAATATTCTTTAAAAAATCCACGCCTTGGTTGGCAACCTAAAAAATATTCTTTAAAAAATCCACGCCTTGGTTGGCAACCTAAAAAATATTCTTTAAAAAATGCACGCCTTGGTTGGCAACCTAAAAAATATTCTTTAAAAAATCCACGCCTTGGTTGGCAACCTAAAAAATATTCTTTAAAAAATCCACGCCTTGGTTGGCAACCTAAAAAATATTCTTTAAAAAATCCACGCCTTGGTTGGCAACCTAAAAAATATTCTTTAAAAAATCCACGCCTTGGTTGGCAACCTAAAAAATATTCTTTAAAAAATCCACGCCTTGGTTGGCAACCTAAAAAATATTCTTTAAAAAATCCACGCCTTGGTTGGCAACCTAAAAAATATTCCACGCCTTGGTTGGCAACCTAAAAAATATTCTTTAAAAAATCCACGCCTTGGTTGGCAACCTAAAAAATATTCCACGCCTTGGTTGGCAACCTAAAAAATATTCTTTAAAAAATCCACGCCTTGGTTGGCAACCTAAAAAATATTCTTTAAAAAATCCACGCCTTGGTTGGCAACCTAAAAAATATTCTTTAAAAAATCCACGCCTTGGTTGGCAACCTAAAAAATATTCCACGCCTTGGTTGGCAACCTAAAAAATATTCTTTAAAAAATCCACGCCTTGGTTGGCAACCTAAAAAATATTCCACGCCTTGGTTGGCAACCTAAAAAATATTCTTTAAAAAATCCACGCCTTGGTTGGCAACCTAAAAAATATTCCACGCCTTGGTTGGCAACCTAAAAAATATTCTTTAAAAAATCCACGCCTTGGTTGGCAACCTAAAAAATATTCTTTAAAAAATCCACGCCTTGGTTGGCAACCTAAAAAATATTCTTTAAAAAATCCACGCCTTGGTTGGCAACCTAAAAAATATTCTTTAAAAAATCCACGCCTTGGTTGGCAACCTAAAAAATATTCCACGCCTTGGTTGGCAACCTAAAAAATATTCTTTAAAAAATCCACGCCTTGGTTGGCAACCTAAAAAATATTCCACGCCTTGGTTGGCAACCTAAAAAATATTCTTTAAAAAATCCACGCCTTGGTTGGCAACCTAAAAAATATTCCACGCCTTGGTTGGCAACCTAAAAAATATTCTTTAAAAAATCCACGCCTTGGTTGGCAACCTAAAAAATATTCCACGCCTTGGTTGGCAACCTAAAAAATATTCTTTAAAAAATCCACGCCTTGGTTGGCAACCTAAAAAATATTCCACGCCTTGGTTGGCAACCTAAAAAATATTCCACGCCTTGGTTGGCAACCTAAAAAATATTCTTTAAAAAATCCACGCCTTGGTTGGCAACCTAAAAAATATTCCACGCCTTGGTTGGCAACCTAAAAAATATTCTTTAAAAAATCCACGCCTTGGTTGGCAACCTAAAAAATATTCCACGCCTTGGTTGGCAACCTAAAAAATATTCTTTAAAAAATCCACGCCTTGGTTGGCAACCTAAAAAATATTCCACGCCTTGGTTGGCAACCTAAAAAATATTCTTTAAAAAATCCACGCCTTGGTTGGCAACCTAAAAAATATTCCACGCCTTGGTTGGCAACCTAAAAAATATTCTTTAAAAAATCCACGCCTTGGTTGGCAACCTAAAAAATATTCCACGCCTTGGTTGGCAACCTAAAAAATATTCCACGCCTTGGTTGGCAACCTAAAAAATATTCTTTAAAAAATCCACGCCTTGGTTGGCAACCTAAAAAATATTCTTTAAAAAATCCACGCCTTGGTTGGCAACCTAAAAAATATTCTTTAAAAAATCCACGCCTTGGTTGGCAACCTAAAAAATATTCCACGCCTTGGTTGGCAACCTAAAAAATATTCTTTAAAAAATCCACGCCTTGGTTGGCAACCTAAAAAATATTCCACGCCTTGGTTGGCAACCTAAAAAATATTCTTTAAAAAATCCACGCCTTGGTTGGCAACCTAAAAAATATTCCACGCCTTGGTTGGCAACCTAAAAAATATCCTTAAAAAAAATCCACGCCTTGGTTGGCAACCTAAAAAATATTCTTTAAAAAATCCACGCCTTGGTTGGCAACCTAAAAAATATTCCACGCCTTGGTTGGCAACCTAAAAAATATTCTTTAAAAAATCCATGCCTTGGTTGGCAACCTAAAAAATATTCTTTAAAAAATCCACGCCTTGGTTGGCAACCTAAAAAATATTCCACGCCTTGGTTGGCAACCTAAAAAATATTCTTTAAAAAATCCATGCCTTGGTTGGCAACCTAAAAAATATTCTTTAAAAAATCCATGCCTTGGTTGGCAACCTAAAAAATATTCTTTAAAAAATCCATGCCTTGGTTGGCAACCTAAAAAATATTCTTTAAAAAATCCATGCCTTGGTTGGCAACCTAAAAAATATTCTTTAAAAAATCCACGCCTTGGTTGGCAACCTAAAAAATATTCTTTAAAAAATCCATGCCTTGGTTGGCAACCTAAAAATATTCTTTAAAAAATCCACGCCTTGGTTGGCAACCTAAAAAATATTCTTTAAAAAATCCACGCCTTGGTTGGCAACCTAAAAAATATTCTTTAAAAAATCCACGCCTTGGTTGGCAACCTAAAAAATATTCTTTAAAAAATTCACGCCTTTTTGGCAACTCTAAAAATATTCTTAAAAAAATCCACACCTCGGTTGGCAACATAAAAAATATTCTTTAACAAATTCACGCCTTTGTTGGCAACTCTAAAAGTATTCTTTAAAAAATCCACACCTTGGTTGGCAACTTAAAAATATATTTTTTTTAAATCACCACCTTGGTTGGTGATTTGGTGATAGCCTTCGTAGGCTACTCTATAAACTACGCCTTGGTTGGCTATTCTATAAACTACGCCTTGGTTGGCTATTCTATAAACTACGCCTTGGTTGGCTATTCTATAAACTACGCCTTGGTTGGCTATTCTATAATCTACGCCTTAGTTGGCAATAATCTACGCATTAGTTGGCAAAAATCCACGCCTTAGTTGGCTACTCCAATTTTTTTAAACGACTTTAACTCAAAAACCACTTTTTTAAAAATCCAAGTCTTGGATGGCTCCTTAAAGGGACCTTCGTATAGACCTCTACACACTCAGAGATGTCTGTTATTATTTATTTTTTTTATTTCTTTGCAGGTAATATGCAATTCTTTTTTTGAACTGAACTTTCCACACACCTGCATACACCTTGTGAAAATTCTATATTTATTTCACTATGAAAACTTCAAAGACTTCCTCTTCTTTTTGATAACTCTGGCCTCAATTTGGCTCGAAATCAACTGAAGCTTCTCCGTAAACATATTCAAGGTAGCCGAAAATGTCATTTCCGGGGTAATGGGTGGAAAATAGTCCGGGTTGAGGGCAAAATATTTCACGGTGTAGGTGAAGTTCTGAAAGTAAAAAAAAAAAATAAAAAAAAAATCTAAAATTGTCTCCATATCCACCCTTACCGCCCTCAGTGGACACCCGGCAAAATTACCACTTCCTCTCAACTTCTTAATAATCGATTCGACAATAGGGTTTGGCGCCTTATACGTGGCCAAATGACAACCATCGACACGAAATTTTAGCATATCTCGGGCAAAATTGCTATTATTTATTGTTGGCATTTGTATACGAAATTCCAGCATCATTTTGTTGATTTCCTTTTTGAGGACAACAAAGCCGCTCAAATAATTGCCACGATTACGTGACTCATTGCGTAGAGGGCAACCAAAGTCTTCGACATATTCGTGATTTAGCACAGAGCAATTGGCCTGTATAAAGAGTATATCAAAATTGCGCTAGAGGGGGAGGAAGGAAGATTTCATAAATTAAAAAAAAAATATTTAAAAAAAAAATCGGAAAACCTACCACAGCCTGTCCTGCATGCAGCCATATTATCAGCATTAGCCAGAGATTTTTGAAATTGAAATTATTCACCATGTTCAATATTTTTTTAGTTTTTTTATTGATGTTCTTTGTTTGGAAAATTCCTCAGAACTATCCGAAGAAATGATTGCGGATCCGCACCTATTTTTTTAGTCGGGTTTGGCTTAATTATTTTTTAATTATTTTATGTTGGTTAATTACTTAATTCACTGACCACAACTTATGTCAGCAATTAGAAAACAATTTGTATTTAGTTGATAAACTATAAAAAAATTAAAAACGATTAAAATAACTATCAACCTTCAAGGGACCCTTATAATTTAATCACTAGGTTGGCAATTACAAAAAAAAAAAAAATATATATATATATATATATAAATCCACGCCTTGGTTGGCTACTCAAAAAAATATTTTTTATAAAGTCCACGCTATGCTTGGCTACTCTATAATCTACGCATTGGTTGGCTACTCTATAATCTACGCCTTGGTTGGCTACTCTATAATCTACACCTTGGTAGGTAATAAA